TAGGAGTTGGAGCTAGACTCATGAGCTATGATCGTGCCACTGCACTCTAGCCTAAGTGATAAAGACCCTGTCAAAAGGAAAAGAAAGGGAGAGGGAGAGAGATGAGAGAGAGAGAGAGAGAGCAAGAAAGAGAGAGAGAGCAAGAGAGAAAAGAAAAGGAAGGAAGGAAGGGAGGGAGCAAGGGAGGCAGGGAGGGAGGGAGGGAGGGAGAGAGAGACAGAGAAAGAGAGAAAGAGAGAAAGAAAGAAGGAAGGAAGGAAGGAGGAAAGAAAGAGAGAGAGAGAGAGAAAGAAAGAAAGAAAGAAAGAAAGAAAGAAAGAAAGAAAGAAAGAAAGAAAGGGAGAAAGAAGGAAGGAAGGAAGGATTGGACATACTAATTTCTCTCAAAAAATTAGGCCTAATAATGAACCCAATTGAAACAAGTCTCTTTAAACCGTATTGTAAGCATTTTTAGTACCAAATACATATTATCTTGAACCTAACTTAAAAGCAATTATAAATCAGTTTATTTTGTTCTATCATCTCTGTATTTAATAGACATTTCTCCTCTAAGCCCAGTGAAGTTTTACTATTTCAAATGAACTGAGTTTTTCATGTTTATTGAATTGAGGTATTTGGTCAGAAATGTGAAGCCTTCAGATTAAGGTGAATTTCTCTTGAATCAAACACAAATGTAATTCTTTCATAATTCCTTCCCATTTTTATCTCCTGGTTGGGGGAGGGGAGAAGACATTCTGCACAACTACCCCCAGCCCCTGCTAGGTTGCTGCTGAATTCCTGCATTAGTCTCTTTACTAAGGAGATTTACTTCTCTTTTCCTATATTTTCCCATGTAGCCTGACCAAATTCATTGCCATAGTTAAAGGAAAGGTAATATCTCTCAGCTATCAAAAGGGACTATAAAAAGGACAGATTCCAACTAGAGATATGTTTGGAAGATTCTTGAGAAAGGTGAGGGGACAATAAACTGATATTCACTCTCCGGTTTCAACAAGATCCTCTGAATATCTGCAAGATGATGACTAGCTGCTAGGGTTTATTGGTAAATTTTATTCAACTTCGTCTTCCCACCAAAATCACCTTAATCACACTCGAAACCACACCCTACATCAGATCCTATCATTCCACTGTTAAAAAAACACACACGAAAACAAAAAAGGCACTTGAACAGCTTTCCATCATCGTTAGCACAAAATATAAACTCTTCCATAAATACAAAAATTAGCCAGGCATGGTGGTGTGTGCCTGTAATCCCAGCTACCCGGGAGGCCGAGGCAGGAGAATCGTTTGAACTTGGGAAGTGGAGGCTGCAGTGAGCCAAGATCGCGCCACCACACTCCAGTCTGGGTAACAGAGCAAGACTCCATTCAAAAACAAAACAAAACAACTCTTCCAGGGTTTCTGGCATGGTCTGGCCCCAAGCCATTCTCATCTCAGGCCATTCTGCTCCTTATGTTCCATTTCTGGGCGTCCTTAAACAGGTAAATCCCTTTCCTGTTTACCTTGGGGCTCCGGATGAGCTGTTCTTTCTGCTTGCAAAGCTACAACCCCACCAGAGCTGCCTGTCTTGATCAGTTAACCAAATGTAGGCTATTTTTTGGTTTCCCTTCCTGCTCCATCCTCAATACCTGGGGAAAGGCTAGGTAGCATGGTGTTTGAGGGGCTCTGCCTTCAGGGTGCTTGAGTTCAAATCCTGGATCTACCACTGGCTAGCTGCTCTGTGACTTTGGGCAAGTCACATAACATAATTATTTCCCCATCTATAATTTGGAGATGACAAAATATATTTTGAGGATTAGATTTGTTAGCAGATGGTAAGTATGTGAAACAGTAATAGTAGTTCTCCTTTTGGCATATACTCCAATTTTATTCTACTTGTTTGCCACGTTTGAGCCTGTTACCTTGAGACTGCTATGGCTGCCTTCTCAACCTCCCCAACTCCCACCCTCCAACTGATTATGGTTTACTTATTGGACTCTGCAAATGAATAAAGAGGGAGCATGAGGAAAGGAGGCAGTCCTAGCTTTAGGAGAGGCCATGGGAGTGAGCTTGTCGAACAAGACATGGTCGTGGCTTCTCTTTAAGCTTACGGTTTAGGCGGACACATATTATGAACACACACCGGATTAGTGCGGCTTTAGGAAAGGGAATCTCAAGGCCTTAGGCCAGCCCTAGAGTAACCTCGATGGCCTCCCCACAAGAGAACCCAAGGAAGGGTCTAGGGCCTAAGAGCACCAGAATCACCAACGCCGGGGATTGGTGGGGAGCCTGAAGAATCTAATTCCGAGAATGCTCTGCGCGCAGACACGGCTTATCTCCGCGCCACTGCAAAAGCCAGACCTAGGTCGGCCCCGGACACCGAGAGCCAATGGCCAGGCCCGTCCTGCCCCGTCCGGGATTGGCTGTGCGTGCCGCGGCCCTCCACGCCGCCCCGCTCAGGGTCTTCCCGGGATTGGCTGAGCTCCCCGACTTCTCCACGGATCGGCTGCGAGCCCCGCCCTCGCCCAGAGTCTTCCCGGGATTGGCTGCGGGCCCCGCGACCCTCCTCCTCCCCTCCCCCGCCCCGCCCCGCGCCGCCTCTCTGGTTTGTTCGCCCAGCGCAGGTCGCCGGCCTCTTTGTCAGCTGGGATGGCGCGGTGAGTGCGTCTTCGGCCTTCGGCTTTCGGTCTCTGGAGGGGAGGGCGCCCGGCCGGCCCGCGGGCCCGATCAGGGCTGGGCTCGCCCCGTGTCCCCACGAGCTTTGCCCGCCCCGAGCTCCTCTGCTCCCGGCGGCCAGAACGGAGGGGTAGAGCAGCCCTCGGCAGCCCGGGGGGCGGGCGGCAGTGCTCGTCCCGGGGCCGCGCGAGGCACAGGCGCCGCGCCCAGAGGAACAGCCAGAGGTTCCCGGGGCAGGTCCCGGGCACCGTAACAATTTTGCCCTTTGCTTCCCCAGGGCGGACGCGCCACTGCTTTGTAGCGGGTTTCGGGCGGGCCACGCGTGCGGCGACAGGAACCCAACCCCAGCCGACCCTGAGCTCAGGAGTTCGTGTCTTACGTCTGCGGAAGTGCAGCTGCCTCAGTTCTTAGCACAGGTATGTTCGTAGCCTTGAGCAGGGGGAAATGACTCAACCCGGAGCACGTGGCCAGTGGTACCGGAGGGTTCCCCGGCGTCTGTTTGTCGCCAAGGTCCGAATCCGCCTCCCCTTAACTGGAAGGAAACATCCATGTAGATGCTCACCAAACAAAACAGCTGTTTCTAGTGGTGGTTTCAGACTTAGAGAAGCAGAGATCCACGAGGTATGGAGAGCAACGCAGGAAATAATAGTGAACCCTGTAAAATCAAAGAAAAAAAATCCCAAAGCACCCTTTCCTGTGCCCTTTTAAGGTTGACCCAGTGCTTTAAGAGGCTAACACAGAAGGGTAAAGTAAGTCTCCATAAAACCCAGAGAAGAGACTGGAAATCTCCCCTTTGGATCCTGTCTGGAGTCACACCTGAACCAGAAAAAATTTCGTTACAACTTGAGCGCCTTTGTGATTTTCTTTACATAGTTTGTAGAACAAGCGATACATTTCCGTTTTCTTTGTTTAAAACGTCATTTTAAAACTTTTCTTTCTATAGGTTGGCAACTACAGGTACAAGCCATTGAAGCTGGAATGTCCTGTTGCTGGTATTTCGGTTGACTTAAGCCAACTATCCCTTCAGTTACAATAGGAAAGTGCCTCTAATAAGGCCAAATATGCGAACTTGTAGCAACCACGTGTCCGTGCAGTGCCACAGGAGCTAGAGCAGTGGGACAATGCTGGTGGCAACAGGGCAATGTAGCAGGTGCTTCATGTTCACCTTTTCAGCCTTTTTCATTTAATTGTCACAACTCAGAGGTGGATTCTGTTAGGGACAAGCTGCCCTAGGACCACCCCGCCCCCGCCAACTCAATGCAGCTGACCCTTAACCTGAATACTCTGCAGCTGCATTCCTGACCCCTTATCTAGGTGCCACAGCAAGGTCCCCAGACTTGCTACACTGAAGCCCTCTGGGTGGCACGGGGGAGGTCATGAGAAACGTGGATAAACCTAAGTTACACCCCCTTGTAAATTCCTGTTTTCACAAGATAATATATTGTAAGCCGGCCACGAGATGAAATGTGGTAGTTAATCAACTAACAACCCCCCGGGTCTCTCTCCCCCATATAAACCCCTCATTTTGTAAGCTCAGGGCTGCCACCTCTGACTGGTGGAGAAGCCCGGCAGGTTAATAAACTTACTTGCCTGACCTTGGGTCTCTTGTCTTTTCTCTCTGCTAACCTTACAGATTCTATTCTCCCATTTCATAGGTAAAGAAATGGATTAGGGGTAACTCAAGTTTCATCACATGTATCTCTGAGAGGCTTCACGTGTATAACTTTTCAGCAGTGTGACTTCTGGAAAGTCACCTGTCTCTTGAGATTTGGTGTCCTGCTGTAACAGTTAAGAATTAAACTAGGAAAGGACCACAGTAGAGCTATTAGGAATATGAACTCTTTGTATTATTTCATTGCATTGAGTCAAAGAAGTTTCACAAAATTTGGCACAAAATGAGTATCTGTCAGCGCATTCTGGTTTTTTTGTGTGTCTATGTAGCAAGTATTTAATATTTATCTTGGAGTCATTCTTAATTCATAGCACTGTTCTTACCTTTTTATCTAAACTTTTATGTTCCATATTGTAAAGTCTAGCCTCATAAGTTTAGGTAATTGCTCATAAGTTCAGATAATGTTGAATTGTAATCCCAATGTTGGAGGAGGGGCCTGGTGGGAGGTGATTGGATCAAAAGGGTGGATTTCCCTCTTACTGTTCCTTATGATAGTGAGTTCTCATGAGATCTGGTTGTTTAGATGTGTAGTGTGGCTGGGGCAGTGGCTGGTGCCTGTAATCCCAGCACTTGGGAAGGCCAAGGCAGGGGGATCGCTTGAGGTCAGGAGTTAAGACTATCTTGGGCAACATAGTAACACCTCATCTCTACAAAAAATGAGGCAGAAGGATTGCTTGAGCCCAAGAGGTTGAGACTGCAGTGACCCATGATCTTGTCACTGTGCTCCAGCCTGAAAAGAAAAATTAAAAATAAAGATTATGCAATTGTGCACGTTTTCTCAAGTCAGAGGCAGAAGAATGGCAGAGTTTAGATTAAAAGTGTGGCACCTCCCCTTCCTCCTACTTTGGCCATGTGCTTCCTTTTAGACATACCCCATGATTGTGAGTTTCCTGAAGCCTCAGCAGCCAAGCTCCCTGTGCAGCCTCCTGAGATGAGACAAATCTTTATAAATTACCCAGTCTCAGTTCCTTATAGCAATGTGAGAGTGGACTAGTACAAAAAATATTCAGCTAATGCATTAGCTGGCTATAATTGCTAAGGAGGGAAGGAAAGGGAGATGACTTAACATGGCCGGCAAGGGAGGCCTCACTCAACATGAAAGAGCTGAGGGAGATGTCATGGCCTTATATATAGTTGAGGGGACAGCATTCTAGGCAGAGGGAAAACTAGTGCAAAGGCCCTGAGGATAGTTGTGTTTAAAGGTTTGGAGAAGCAGTGAAGCTATAGAGAAGTGCCCTTGGAGGGGAGGACTTAATGTCTGTATATAGTAGTGGAGAGTTGGTTATTTTCAAACTCTTGTAAAATGGCAATGTGCTCTGGCCTTCCAGGCTCTGAATGTTTTAATTTAACTGGAATGCTCCCTATTGCCTTATACCTTACTGCTCTTAACCTAACTTCTCTGACCACCACCAGCCCTTCTATGTAATGGCCCTGTAGCATCAGAACTACATTGCACATTGTGTGTGAACTTGCCTAACTGCCTGTGCTTCTCTCCATTCTGTAAAGTTCCCCTTGGTTCCCACCATATCACAAAGGGTCTAGTCAGGTGCTTGACATTTTGTAGGTAAGTGGCTTATAGTCCCCTTCTAAGGGCAGCATAATGTTGAGCCTAGGTTCAGATCTCTATGTGTGATCTTAAACCACTTAGTGTTAGGTTTTATTAACGAGTAATATGTGATACATCAGACTACTTGGTAAGTAGTAAGTACTCAGCAAATGATATATTAGTTGGTAGTACTATTTAATCATTTTTATAATACCGTAGATTCATAATGTTAGAACAAAATGACAATATTGATATTTAGTATTGTGCATGTTTCAGCCGCACATCTACTAAAACTGGAACTGATACTTAGTATTTACATAGTACTGGAATAGCTCTAATGTTCTTTTAATGGAGCATTTAACTATGGATCAAGTACTATTCTAGGTATCGTAAGAACCAGTGAGCAAGTATACAAAAATCAGTGGATATGGTTGGTTGTGGTAACTCATTGGCCACATTTCAAATATTCAACAGCTGCATGTGGCTAGGGGCAGCACAGATAAAAAGGCTCTAGCAAATAGTTGTAAAGAATAACCACTGGTTTCACAAAGCACTCCACGGAGTCCTGGTGGTGGTCTTCTCCCCCTTGAGTTACTTGGGCAGAGGCCCTGTAACACATCCACGGCTCAACAGCCACATGTGGTTAGGGGCAGCATAGATAGAAAACATTTCCATTACTGCAGGGTTTTATTAGCAGTACTGTTGTAGCATTGCATGATGCAGCCAACTTTTCAGAAGAGACAACCTGTCAGAACCTGGACAGACAGTGTAGTCTGAATGACTGCCTCCAGAGATAATCAGGCCTAATCTCTGGAACCTGTAAATGTTACCTTATTTGCAGATATTATTATAATTAGATTAAGGATCTCAGGATGGGGAGATTACCTTGGATAATCCTAGTGGGCCCTAAATGCGATCACAAGTTCCCTCATGAGAGAGAGCCCGAGGGAGATCCACACACAGCAGATTGGAAGATGCTGGCCTTGAAGATCGGAGTGAGGCAGCCCCCAGGAGCTGGGAGATGCCAAGGAACACATTCCCCATCAGAGCCTCCTGAGGAGCATCATTTGATTTGGCTCAGTGAAACTAATTTCTGACTTCTGGCCTTCAGAACTGAGAATAAATTGCTGTTTTAAGCCACCAACTTGTAATTTGTTACAGCAACCTCTAAGATCACAAATATAGCTGGGGCAAGAACCCCACCACCTCAGCCTGCCTCCACTGTTTTTATTAGTGCCATGTGGGTGGTTGGGAGTAGATCCTATATATATTCATTGGTCATTTTTTAAAGGTATGACCATGAATTTAAAATGTATTTAGACTTTAATCTTGAGATACATGAGCATATGGCTAAAATATGTGGGGTCAGCAGATACCTCCTAATAAAGCATTGTGAAAAGTAAGGAATCAATTTATGGTTTATTGGAAAGTCATTTATGCACACTTGTATTTATACAGTACAAGACACCACATTTTATAAATTCAGTAACTGAAGCAAATTAAGACAATAGAAAAAGCATTCTAATTATAATTTTTGCCCTGCGGGCTGTACAGCTTCAGCCAGTAGTGTCCTGGAGGTAATACAAACTGCTAAAGTGAGATAATGTTTTCATAAACTTCAGTTTCAGTTTGTGTTTTAAGAAATGTAAACTTGAATCTCTGGGCAAGAGAAGGTTCTCAATATTTGGCACAAAGGGAGCATCTGTCAGCCTATTAGGTGTTTTTGGTGTATGTAACATGTAAAAGAGGACTTAAAAGGACATAATGGTACTAGTGTCCTTTAAAAAAATATATATCGGCTAGGCACAGCCTGTAATCCCAGCTCTTTGGGAGGCTGAGGCAAGGGGACTGCTTGAGGCCAGGAATTCGAGACCAGCCTGAGTAACAAAGCAAGACCCCATCCCTACAAAAAGTCAAAAACTTCGCTGGGCACGGTCGTCTAATCTACTTGGGAGGCTGAGGAGGGAGGATCACTTGAGCCCACAAGTTCAAGGCTTCAGTGAGACATGACTGTCACTGCACTCCAGCCTGGGCAACAGAGCAAGACCCTGACTCCAGAAAAGTAGTATCACTAATAAAACTAGTCTTCCCAGGGTCAGCTACCACAAGGCTCTGACTTAAGTCCTTGCCACTAGGTTGCAGTAATACTAATTCTGAATTATGGGATACTACACTTAAACAGCAACTATACTAGAGACTGGGAAGGAAATTGGGGCAAAGAACCTAAGTGTTTTAATGAGAAGTTCATACTTAAATTTATTATGGGATGGAATAACACATGGTTCACCTAGCTCCCTAAACATGTTAATTGACAAAATACTATCTGAAATCCTTTACATTTTCTAGGTGTATCAAAATTTCTTCTGTGTGAAACCATTTTTCACCTATTCTCTGTAAGAATACCTTATATCAACTGACATGAATTACTAATGCTTTTTTATTACAGTGTTTCAGCAAAACCACCATTTGACTGGACCATGATGTACTTGAGGCTATTCGTGGGCTCATGAATATTCAAGTAATTCAAGCTTTCCTTTAATGAATGCTGTTAGAGCTGAAGCATAGGATATGAAGGTCAAACCTCAGTCACTTGAAAATATTGTATATATTATTGTTCATACCCTTTGAAACTTCTCAAACTATAGAATCTCATGATGAAAGTTAGGATCAAACTGAACCCTATTTGCCCTTTATTATAAATCCTAGAGATGAACAGTTTATATATAAAAATTCATTTAAAAGTGAAATTTAGATTCTATAAAGAACAAAGTATTGTGAGATTCTGAACGTAATCAGGTCCTCACTTTTTGGTGGGTGGGAAGAATGAAAGAGAACAGTATATTTTTATTTAATACTTAAACTGCCCACGATTCTTCAGTTTTTTCTTTCTTAATTGAATCCCTGTTTCCAACATCTGAGCTCCATCTCCCACTCTCAAAAGAAGTTTCATTATTACAAGTTAAATATTTCTGCCCAAGTATGGCCAATCCCAGACTACTTTTGAGATGTGTCCATACAGAATAACAATTGCTAGCTCCCTGTTGAAGGTTTAACTGCTCAGCCTGCAGGTAACCTGATGAGCTCACGTTGAAGAAATTAAGGTAGAAATTCTCCTACAGTTAGTTCCTTACCGTGAGATAACAGTTTGTTCCTCCTAATAAACTTCTAGTTCCATCCTCTTTTTCTTTTTTTTGTCATATCCAGCTCTACAAGTTTCACGCTGTTTAAATCTACAAAAACCTGTTTAAAATGTTTGGATGCTCAGCTTGTTTCAGCCTGAAATTTCTCCAAGACCAATGAAACAAAACAGGATTGTGCCCTGAATAGACACCCAAGCTGCAGGCTCCTGCTTAGCTCTATTTTGCTTTGGCCTCCATTAGATCTTCAGCCACAATAGCAGGAGATAACAGTCTTCCTAGAAGCTTTCATCAGCTGCAAGTTTTCTTACAGAATGAAACTTTTCTGCTATTTTTCTCACAGTTAATTGGCTATTTGAGAAAACCGAATTTCTGGCTCTCAGCATTTAACTGGATTCTGTGCGTGACTGGATGACCGCTTTGCACATCACCATGGGTGTCATCCCTACCTTCTTTAAACCTTTTGTGCCAGTCAAAAATTCTTGCTCTTGATATGTCATCACCAGAAACTACTTTTTTTTTTTCTCTCTTTTGCGACAGGGTCTTCCTCTGTCACCCAGGCTGGATGGAGTCTAGTGGAACAATCATAGTTCATTGCACCTTGATACCCTGTGCTCAAGTGATCCTCCCATCTCAGCCTCCTGAGTAGGTGGGACCACAGGTGTGCACCTGTGGCTAATGGCTAATTTAGTTATTGTTTGTTATAGAGATGGGGGGGTCTCCCTATGTTGTCCAGGCCTGTCTTGAACTCACGGGCTCAAGTGATCCTCTTGCCTCAGCCTCCCAAAGTTCTGGGATTACAGGTGTGAGCCACTGGACCCAGCCAGAAACTACTTTTAACAGTTCTAATTGCCACTTGTCTTGGCTGTATATTCAGAAAGAGCCAGTTTGGAATTAGGGTTTTTTGATTGCTATTGATAAGAAGGTTCAAATGCAATAGTCTATTTCAAGTGTCTCACTGACATATTCAACTTTACACAAAGTTTAATATGAATTCTTTGCTCTAACAGTCACCAGTTTTAGGGTCAACAAAAAAATCTATTCACATCTAAGAAACTTAGCTGGTAACCTTAAAAGCTCTGTTGTAGCCAGCACAAATATAACCTATTCCAGCAATTTCACAAACTACACAAAGAAAAATTGGTAAATATTTCAGCAGATGAGTACAAATCATCTTTGGAGAAGGTGATAAAGATTTCAGTGCTATATCATCTTAGCCTTCTGTTTTCCCACCTACAAAAGGGTCGAAAATAAATCAGTATTTTCTTGTCCAATTAATAGGAAGATGATATATGAAATACTTTAATTATATGTCATCAGCACTGTCCCATTCTGAAAGAACCTAAGATTTTAAAAATACATCCTAATAACATGTATATTGCCGCTTGTCTTGGCTATATCTTCAGAATGAGCTAGTTTGGAATTATGGTTTTATTTTTTTTTTCAATTGCTGTTGATTGCTAGGGAGGCTCAAATGCAAGGTGCCAAAATAGTTATTTCCAAATATAGAACAACCGAGTAGATGCTGTTGTCTCCAGTCTGTATAACACAGTATGTGTGGTTGGGTTTCTAGAAATTCTAACACATACGTATTGCTTCCCAAATTCATCCTGCAAATACTACGTAGTGGAGTCAATTTAAAATAAGCACACATACACTGAAAAATACCATCTTATAAGCTTTGAACACATTTCATACATCTCTCAAATCAAATTTTGAAGAGGTTTTCACAAATTACAATTGTACAACGTGGATGCTGGAATTAAAATAGGTTTTCCACTTCCAGAGCTTTTCCATCATCCCAAACAAATTTTATCCCCATTAAATAGCAGCTCCTCATTCTCCCTTCCCCTAGCCCTTGAGAACCTCTATCCTGCTCTCTGTCTACGAATTTGACTATTCTCAGTGCTTCATATAATTGGAATCATACAGTATTTATCCTTGTGTCTGGCTTATTTCACTTAGCATAATGTTTTCCAGGTTCATCCATGCTATAGCAGGTGTCAGAATTTCATTTTTAAGGTTGAATAATATTTCATTGTGTGTATGCCTCTGTGTGTGTGTCTACTACGTTTTGCTTACCCAGTCATCTGTTGATCAACATTTGGGTTGTTTCCTCTGTTTGGCTATTGTGAATATTGTTATGAACATTAGTGTACAAGTATCTGAGTCCTTGTTCTTTCAGTTCTTTTAGGTATACACTGACAAGTGAAATCACTGTATCATATGGTAATTCTATGTTTAATTTTTTGAGGAAGTACCATACTATTTTCTAGAGAGGCTGCACCATTTCACATTCCACCAGCAAACCACAAAGGGTTCCAATTTCTCCATATCCTCACAAACATTTGTTATTTTTCTATGAACGGTCGTAATTATATGTGAAGACTCAGGTATCTACAATGTTACGTATTCTCTTCCCAATTGCACGATTTTTTCAGTGCTTTGCTTTCAGGGAAAACATACTCAGGCTGGTCTTTGTTATGGTTTTAAGTACAGGGTACTTTAAGATAATTTTGTGGTGTTTGCTAAATTCAAGAATTCAATACAGGCCGGGCGTGGTAGCTCACACCTGTAATCCCAGCACTTTGGGAGCCCGATTCCGGCACATCACCTGAGATCAGGAGTTCGAGACCAGCCTGGCCAACATGGTGAAACCTCCGTCTCTACAAAATATACAAAAATTAGCCGGGAGTGGTGGCTGGCGCCTGTAATCCCAGCTATTTGGGAGGCTGAGGTGGGAGGATCGCTTGAACTCGGGAGGCAGAGGTTGCAGTGAGCCGAGATTGCACCACTGTACTCCAGCCTGGGCGACAGAGCGGCACTGTCTCAAAAAAAAAAAAAAAGAATTTAACACATATTGCCATGTTCCTTTACTGGGGGAATCTCCGTTACTTTTTGGGGAGGCTGCTAGGGCTGCTTAAAGTATTTGTATTAGAAAGGCACTGCAAGATGTAAACGTGAAGATGTAAACAGGACCTTATCCTACTTAAATTCTCTTTAAATTAGCAGAAGGAGCAGCAGCTAGAAAAGGGCTAGGAACAACTGGAATCCACCACTTAACTAAGGCGGTTAATCCCCCAAAGCATGGTAACATACTGTACTGCACCCCCTAAAAGTGTGTTACCAATAGGACCACAAACAAGTTTGCCCACTTTTTAATGCAAATGTCCCTTTCAAGATCGCAAATCCTTCAATACACAGGGCCTAATCCAGTCGCGCTTTACTACTACGGGTTCCTCCCGCCAACTGGCAGGAGAGCTGCCCCAGGCACCGCGGAGAAGGCAGGTACGCGTGAGGGAAAGGAGAGCCCGGGCCGCGCCCACCTCGGCCCCTGGCACTGCAGGTCCTGCGGGTCCCGCGGGTCCCGGATTCGAGGCGAAGCGGCCCACAGCCTGCGGCTGCTCAGACCTTCTCACCTCGCCCACCTCCCAGCCGCCTCCTGGCTCCAGCCCCGTAGCAGGAGGAGGCCTACGGAGGTCCCTGGCACGCGAGGAGCAGAAATACCTTGAGGGGCGGGACCAATTGGCCCAGCGCTGGACGAAGACCCGCACCCTCGCGGGAGTTCCGAAAGCCCCGGCAGACTGCGACAACACTGGGAGATGTGTCTGCCAATCACTGCATGGGGGCGGTCCTGGGGGGGGGGGGCATGCAGTTGGCTAAGCACGGAGAAGCTCGAGTTCCATTGGCCATTTTTCCGGTCCCAAGCCCACCCCTAGACCTGAATCCCCGTCCAGTTCCGCCGGTCCACTCTCGGCCGAAAGGCTGGGGAGGAAGGGAGGAAACACCCGGCTTAGTTTTGTTTCCTTCTGCTGGAGGCAGAAGGAAGAGTGCCAGACCTTCACCCATGGTCCCCTGGGCACGTTTCACGCCCAGGTTCTGACCCCATGTCCTGTGGCATTCTGGACCTCTGCCTTCTACCCTATGTCCCACGCTGATCCATCCTAGGCAGGGAGAAGGCAGCGTCGCAGGGACAATGCCAAAATCAAGATATTTCTCTTAGAGCTTTCTAATATTAATACCTTATGTCTAGGTCTGTATAGTATACAATGAGCATATATACTTTTTATAAATCTCTGAAACCACCCCCCTTCATTAAATCATCAAACTAGTCACAGTGAAGTAGGTACTGTTATTCCTTATTTTTCAAGCAAGGAAACATGAGTAGGCTTTAGAGGTCAGCTCACGTCCTGTCATGTTCACTTCCTAAATATCAGCTGCACCCTGTCCTCATTCCTATTCCCTTGCTTTAATTCAGACCTTCATAGTTGCTTGCCTGGATTAGTTCTACAAATAGCTCCCAACTCCTTTTCCGGTCATTCTCCAAGCCAAAGATTAATCTTCCTAATGCAAATCTGATCGTGTATCTTAAACCCTTCTCAAACGTCTCAAATGTCAACTCCTTCTGTGGCCCCTCATTGCCTGTAGGTTCTGGCAGAGACTGCTTTTTATTGAAATATAACATGCCCACAGATAAGTACACAAAAATGCACAGTCGGCTGAAATTTCACAAACTAATCACAGTCCTGCCACCAACAACTAATTTAAGAAACAGAACATGGCCCGGCGTGGTGGCTAACGCCTGTAATCCCAGCACTTTGGGAGGCTGAGGTGGGCAGATCGCTTGAGGTCAGGAGTTTGAGACCAGCCTGCCAACATGGTGAAACCCCATCTCTACTAAAAATACGAAAATTAGCTGGGTGTGGTGGTGCATGCCTGTAATCCTAGCTACCCGGGAGGCTGAGGCAGGGGAATCGCTTGAACCCGGGAGGTGGAGGCTGCAGTGAGCGAGATCATGCCACTGCACCTCCAGCCTGGGCTACAGAGCTAGACTACATCAGTCAAAAGAAAAAGAGAGAGAGAGAGAGACAGAAAGAGAGAAGAGAAGAGAAAGAAGAGAAGAGAAGAGAAGAGAAGAGAAGAGAAGAGAAGAGAAGAGTGCTACCAACAACTAATTTAAGAAACAGAACATGGTTCGGCGTGGTGGCTAACGCCTGTAATCCCAGCACTTTGGGAGGCTGAGGTGGGCAGATCGCTGAGGTCAGGAGTTTGAGACCAGCTCACAACATGGTGAAACCCCATCTCTACTAAAAATACGAAAATTAGCTGGGTGTGGTGGTGCATGCCTGTAATCCTAGCTACCCGGGAGGCTGGGAGGCAGGACCGCTTGAACTCCGGGAGGTGGAGGCTGCAGTGAGCGAGATCATGCCACTGCACCTCCCAGCCTGGGCCACAGAGCTAGACTACATCAGTCAAAAAGAAAGAGAGAGAGAGAGAGACAGAAAGAGAGAAGAGAAGAGAAAGAAGAGAAGAGAAGAGAAGAGAAGAGAAGAGAAGAGAAGAGAAGAGAAGAGAAGAGGAGAAGAGAGAGGAGGGGGGGGGGGGGGGGGGGGGGGGGGGGGGGGGAGGGGACGGGAGGGGAGAGGAGAGGAGACAGCACACCAGAAGTATTTCCTTCCAGTCCACTCCTTTTCACCTAAAGGTAACCGCTCACCTGACTTCTAACAGCATAGAGTAGTATCCTTGCGTTTGTACATTATATACGTGGGACCATTTCAGCATGTGATTTTTTGTGTCTGGTTTCTTTAACTCACTATTATGGTCATAAAGTTCATCCATATTTTGAGTATAGTCACAGTTTGCTCATGAGGATGCTGCAGTGCATTCCATTTTGTGAATATACCACAATTTATATTCAACCAATTATTGATAGGCATTGGAGTAGTCTACATTTTGGAACTATTAAATATATTGCTGCTATGAACATTGTAATAAACATCTTTTGATGAACATGATGAAAGATTATTGCATTTCTGTGCGGTGTATACCTACCAATGGAATTCTTGGATTATAGGTTATACTATGTTCAAATTTAGTAGATATTAAATATTTTAAAACGGTTTTTCAAAGTGTTTGAGCCAATTTACACTTATCAGAAATGTATGAGTATTCCAGTTGTCCCACATTCTCATCAACACTTGGTATTTTCCATCTTTCTTCATTTTAGTCATTTTGGTGGGTGATAATTGTGCTTCAGGTAATTTTAATTTGCAGCTCCCTGATGATTAATGAAGTTGAGCACCTTTTCATCTTTTTATTGGCTATTAAGAAATAACTTCATGAAGTGTCTGTTAAAATTTGTGCCCATTTTTAGTGTCTTTTAAGTTTGTATTTTCCTAACATTTGATTATGAAAAATTTCAAATATTTAGCAAAGTTTGAAGAGTTTTACAATAGCGTCTATAAGCCTACTACATAGATTATTCTACCATTAACATTATATAACACTCGCTTTAGGATATTTCTACCTTTCCCTATATCTATCTTAATGTTGTTGCATTTCAAAGTAAATTGCAAACAGCAATACATATTTGGCCATTTAAATATTAATATTTCAGCATGCATATCATTAACTGGAATTTAATACTTCAGGTTTCTTTTGATGTAAAATTTACATGAAATGAAATGCACAGATCTTTAGTGTATATATTTGCTGAGTTTTGACAAATGCATTCATTCGTATAACCCAAATTTCTATCAAGTATAGAACATACTATCACCCCAGAAAGGCCTTCATGCTCCCTCCCATTTCCACTTTGCCAGGGACAACCAACGTTCTAATTTGTTTCCCCACTGTAGATTAGATTTGCCT